AGAAGTTCTTTGCGTGCGAAAGAACAGCCTGAATGGCTACTCTCCGAACAAACACTTCGTAAGGGGAAATAATCAAAAAATAAAAATTACCCGCCAGTTAAAGATTGACGTCGATCATAGCACAACATATATTTCTATTTATGCGGCGGAACGGAGTCAATAAGGGTTTATTTCGTAGGCGCACAAAATAGGCTGTGATCGGGGTGATTTGTTTTCTGGAATAAAGAAAATAGAAGCTCGCAATAAATAAATAAAATATGAATAATTTCAAATATAAACCTTTGAAGTCAAGTGAAAATGAAGTTCCCGCCAATGCAACACATGAAGACAACGACGAAGAGGACCACTCGGAAGTTTTTTGCATAAGTCTACCATTGAAATTATTATTTGTAATATTTTTATTGACCCAAATTTGCTATGTCGTCTATGAAAGTGAATATTACAAATATTCAAATGGAAAAAATCGGAACACTACCGCCTCCTCTGTAATCGACAACGATACACTGGCTGCGGAATACGATATAATTGAAATTGTTACATTGAATGGGAGAAGAAATTATAGTGAAACAAAAATTCAACCACCTCCGGTTTTTGAAGTTGAGGAACAAGAATTTCAAAAAAATACAACAACAACAAATGGAAATAATTATAATAATTATAAAACAATAACAAATTTAACAAACAATCAAAATAATAATAATAATAGTGAAGATGATTATGAGGATGAGTATGAGCATGGGTATAGTGTGGCTAGGTCGACTCCAAGTACCATAATCACATCATCACCATTTCTGTTAACGAAAAATACAACAATAACATCAACAACAACAACAAAATTAACAAAAGATAAAGATTTACTAATTACCTCAAACAATAAAACATTTGTGGCTACAAAAACAACAACAGCAAGCAATGCAATTAGTTATGAAATAACAACAACACGAAATACAGAAACTTCAAGGAGTACACAGGGTAAGCATGGTCCAATAAATTAAAATCGCGATTTTGTATAGAAATATTCTACCCAGTCTAGCGGTGCCTTAGGCGTGGATTTTTTAAACAAGTCTATCACAGACTTAGGCGTGGATTTTTTAAACAAGTCTATCACAGACTTAGGCGTGGATTTTTTAACCATATTATCACAGCCATAGGCTTGGATTGTTTAAACAATTTTTTAACCCGACACCACTCTTTTAGGCGTGGGGTTTTTTAACATTTTTTTAACCAGACTATAACAGACTTAGGCGTGGATTTTTTAAAAAAAAATCAAACCAGACTATCACAGCCTTAGGCGTCGATTTTTAAAACAGTTTTTACCAGACTATTACAGCCTTAGGCGCGGATTTTTAAACAATTTTTTGACCAGACTATCACAGCATTAGGCGTGGATTTTTTTAAACAAATTTTAACCAGACTATCACAGCCTTAGGCGTGGATTTTTTAAAAAGATTTTAACCAGACTATCACAGCCTTAGGCGTGGATTTTTTAAACAATTTTTTAACCCTACAACCACAGTCTTAGGCGTGGATTTTTTAAACATTTTTTTAACCCGACAACCACAGTCTTAGGCGTGGATTTTTTAAACAATTTTTTAACCCGACAACCAGACTATCACAGCCTTGGATTTAAAAAAAAAATCAAACCAGACTATCACAGCCTTAGGCGTGGATTTTTTAAAAAAATCAAACCAGACTATCACAGCCTTAGGCGTGGATTTTTTAAAAAAAAATCAAACCAGACTATCACAGCCTTAGGCGTGGATTTTTTAAAAAAAAGCAAACCAGACTATCACAACCATAGGCGTGGATTTTTTAACCATATTATCACAGACATAGGCGTGGATTTTTTATACAAATTTTTAACCAGTCGTTGATTTTTTAAACAATTTTTTAACGATATTATCACAGCCTTAGGCGTGGATTTTTTAAACAATTTTTAACCAGACTATCATAGGCGAGGATTTTTTTAAAAAAATTTTAACCCGACAACTACAGTCTTAGGCTTGGATTTTTAAACAATTTTTTAACCCAACAACCACAGTCTTAGGCGTGGATTTTTTAAATAATTTTTTAACCCGACAACAACAGTCTTAGGCGTGGATTTTTTAAACAATTTTTAACCCGACAACCAGACTATCACAGCCTTATGCGTGGATTTTTAAAAAAAATCAAATCAGACTATCACAGCCTTAAGCGTGGATTTAAAAAAAAAATCAAACCAGACTATCACAGCCTTAGGCGTGGATTTTTTAAAAAAATCAAACCAGACTATCACAGCCTTAGGCCTGGATTTTGTAAAAAATCAAACCAGACTATCACAGCCTTAGGCCTTATGCGTGGATTTTTTAAACAACTTTTTAACCAGACTATCACAGCCTTAGGCGTGGATTTTTTAAACAACTTTTTAACCAGACTATCACAGCCTTAGGCGTGGATTTTTCACTATTTTTAACCGCCTTAGGCGTGAATTTTTTAACCAGACTAGAGGACCATATGTGTGGATTTTTTAAATCTTTTTTTAACCAGACTAGAGGACCATAGGTGAGGATTTTTTAAATCGTTTTTTAACCCGACTTCCTTAGGAGTTGAGTTTTATAACATTTTTTACTACAACTGACAAATGTTTTGTATTTTTTTGTTTTATTTTAAAATACCTCATGCCCTATACATTTTTATTTTGAAAATCCGAAATAAATGTGGTTCTGTCCAATTTTTCTTTTGGGTCTTCTTCACAGTTATTATTTTGTACCCAAGTTAAACATATGTTATGCAAGGTGTACGTACTGTCCATGATATTAACCTGCCAGTCACCAAATTTACCCAATTCGATAACAAAATGGATTTTTATGCCAAACGGATTTCACCTATTTTTCACAATTATTTTTTAGATAAACAAAAATATTTTCAAATTAGTCTGAATATTACATACATATATGTATATGCGTATGTTGTTATGACAAATATACATACCCTCCGCTGTTATCTGTTACTATTCGACATTGGTAGCAATAAAATAATTCTAAGAATAACAATAACAGTAGATATTGTTGGCCGTATTCGATTGAGAATGTGGACCTAGGTTATCAGATTTTTTGATCTGATTTTTCTTATTGTATGAATCAAATGCTTGTCAATTTTTAAATGGCACTTATGTCGAATATCGTAAAAAAACAGAAACAGAAATAATAAATGCGATTACCATCTAACAATAGCAAATCACATCTTGTTCGGCAAATCACACGTCACCGAATAATACTCACCGAAATAAATTTTAAATAACGATCGATTAGAGTTTTTGTATATTTGATAAGAGTAGTTAAGGATGTTTATCTGCAGAAAACCCGAAATTCTGAAGATCAGGCGGGTTATGGGGGTTATGTCAAAACATATATAACATATATTGGAGATTTGTTGTAGAAAAATAGGTCAGAGTTTTTTTAATTCACATCAAAAGGTCTGAGATCCTTCAAAAAAAAAAATAAAAATCGACGCATGTAGTCCTCAGGTTCTTTAAAGAAAATCCATGCCTATAGGTCTTAGATTCTAAATATAATCCACGCCAATTGGCCTAAGGTCCTTTGGGAAAATGTTATTCAGAAAACACGCCGATAGGTCTGAGGTTCTTTTAAAAAATCCACGACTATAGGTCCGAGGTTCATTTGGAAAATATTCTTAAATAAAATAAATGTCTGAGATCCTTTCAAAAAATCCACGCCTATAGGCATGATGATCTTTTAAAAAATCCACGGATATATGCCTGAGTTTTGGAAAATATTCTTAAAAAAACACGCCAATATGTCTGAGGTTCTTTTTTTTTTAAAAACATGCCTATAGACCTGAGCTTCTTAAAAAACCACTCCGATCGTTCTGAGGTTCTTTTATAAAAATCCACGCCCATTATCCTGAGGTTCCTTTGGAAAATATTCTTTAATAAATCCACGCCGATCAGTTGGCCCTTTAAAAATATTCTTTAATAAATCCACGCCTCAGTTGGCCCTTGGAAAATATTCTTTAATAAATCCACGCCGATCGGTCTGAGGTTCTTTAATCCACGCCTATTATCCTGAGGTTCTTTTGGAAAATACTCTTTTATAAATCCACGCCGATCGGTCTGAGGTTCTTTAATTAAAATCCATGCCTCCTATTCTGAGGTTCTTTTGGAAAATATTATTTAATAAATCCACGCCGATCGGTCTAAGGTTCTTTAATCAAAAACCACGCCGATCGGTCTAAGGTTCTTTAATAAAGATCCACGCCTCTTATTCTGAGATTCTTTTGGAAAATATTATTTATTAACCCCACGCCGATCTGTCTAAGATTCTTTAATCAAAAACCACGCCGATCTGTCTAAGGTTCTTTAATCAAAACATCACGCCGATCGGTCTGAGGTTCTTTAATAAAAATCCACGCCTATTGTTCTGAAGTTCTTTAATAAAAATCCACGCCTATTGTTCTGAGGTTCTTTTGGATAATATTCTTTAATAAAAATCCATGCCTATTGTCCTCATGTTCTTTTGGTAAATATTCTTTAATAAATCCACACCGATAGATCTGAGATTCTTTTAAAAATCCACGCCTATTATCCTGAAGTTCTTTTGAAATACTTTTAAAAATACACGCCGATAGGCTCATGGTCCGTTTTAAAAAGTAAAATATATTTAAAAAAATCAACGCCAATAGGCAGGAGGCTCTTTAAAACAAAGGCCTCGGGATCTTTTAAAAAATCAACGCCTATAGGCCTCATGTTCTTCAAAATATCCACAGAAGCTCGTTGGAAAATAAAAATATTTAAAAATCTTTTGATAAGTATTCTACAAAAGAGATGATTTTGAAAACAAATTTAAACTTTACGGTTATGACCCTGAGATTCCTAGTAACGTATACTCACTTATAGCTCTACCATCCCTCCAAATAGTTTTTACTCATCTGTATATTTTTTTAATCACATTTTTCTTTTCTTTTTCGGACTGCTTTTGATAAACCAAATACAACAACAACAGATTCGTATATAAGCAGTGTTTTCACAACACCCGGGAAGAGTAGTACTAAACTTTTTGCAGCAACTACAACCCCAAGGCCATCTACCAATACAGTAAAACCGGCAACCACAATAAAACCCATAAAACATCCTACGCCTCCCTACATAAATACACCACAGACCACAATCAATGTCTTCAACAATAACATCACGTTTAATACTCAACAACAACAACCGCGTAAATTTTATATCAACACCTCAAGATGTCACATGCCCTATGTGGATCCCTTTACACCGCAAATTCTTAAAATGTTTAAACCTTCGCACACCACTGGTTGTACAAAAGATGAGCCGATCGTCACTGTTCATTTCGATGATACGAACGAAGTTTATCGGCTGCAAACGAATTATTCGGTAGCACAACAATTTATCAAACATGCTACCAGCGAAACTATTGTCGATGATTTGCGGTGCTGTTATCGTCACATCGAACGTAGCGGAAGTGGTGCCAGTGCTGATTCGAAATTTAAGTAAGTATTCACATTCGGTAATCGAAAAAAAGGTTTGTGTATTCATTATGTATAACGGCATATACATTAGAACTTTTTACCGGGTTAACCTACTTTATGAGGATTTATTTGAAATATATCCAAAGGAATTGACAATTGAGACCGACTGGGTTAAAGAAATCCGGTTAAATGTAAACGTACTATATGAAACACTTCCATAAGGGTTTCGATTTATGAAAGACCGGGAAAATATTCCCCTGTTACTCCTGTTGAGAGCATAGGGATTGTGTTAGTTTCGTTGTTCATTAGTGTATTTTATTCTAATCTAATTAGATAATTGGTTTACTGCAGCTGCTGTCCTAGAGGATGGGACTGTCATCTACCGTTGCTTAGTAACAGCATCACCTTGAATTTTTTAGTGGCCTTGTTTATTCAGTATTGTTATTTGCCTCTGGGTAGCGCTATCTAGATAATTGGTCTACATTAACCTGTATTAGGAGATGAGGATGCCATCTATCGTTCTTAGAAACAGTGTCTCCTTCAATTTGAAGCATTGGTTGGGCTGCCATCTATCGTTACATAGAAAGAGTGTATTTTTGAATTTTGTACTGTGGTTGGTGTCCTGGCTTATTCAGTATTGCCATTTTCCTCTATCGTTGCTTAGAAAACCCGTCTTCGTCAATTTGGTTCGGTGGTGGGAGTCCTTACATAGTTCATTTTACGATTTTCATCTGGGTGGCGAAACCTCCTGTTATCCTAATTCGTTGAAGACGAATCCATCAAAAGGTCTTCTATCAAACGAAGTCATGATACATTTTGAATATCAAATATAGATTAGGCCGAAAAGCTACGACACTGCCGCACAGTGGGAAAAAATGCAGATCTAGCGCGCAGAAAATCAAAGTAGATGTTTTACTGTATGTTTATCGATATTTTGGATAAGAATAGATTTAGATGGACAATTTTAATTATTTTATGAAAAAATTTGGCAATTTTTTTTTTATTAACCCATTAAGCGCCGATTTTTTTTTTAGAAAAAACTTAAATTTTTTGGTGTAAATTACTATTTTGAAGCAATTGAAATATTTTATAATAAGCAATATTTTTTGTTATAACTAATAGTACTCCTAAAATGGAAGCTTCTTTTAAAAATTCCGAAACATTTGGAGGGTAAAAAGTGGGTTAAGGCCAAACACTATTGTTATTATATATATCTTTATTATTCACCCCTATTCTGTATGTCGTCGTCGACGCGAAACGAGTCGAAGAGAGTCGTCTTTTGCAAATTGGTATTCCCTATGTCGTTGTCGACATTTATCGATAACTATTGAAACATTTTTGGTATTCCGTAACAATGTGTGACGACGACGATGTCGAAGAATTCTTCGTCATAGTTTTTGTTGACGACTGAAGCGTATGAACATTTTTTTTTTGAAATTAAAAAAAAAAACATGACCGGAAAAGAAAAGGATACATCATTCTAGAATCTATTCAATACTTAATGCAAAATAAAGTGTAAATAAAGAAAAATATATGGGATATATATATAAATCTAAACCGATTTTGACCAATGTCAATAGGACCAGGGATGGTCCGTGTGACGAATTTTTAGGTTTTCGACTGTCAAAAAGGTGTAAACGTCGAAAACGTCATATACCTGTATATAATGTAATAAATGTAGTAAACGTCATTTATTTCAATATTATCAGCATATATTTATTTTCAAGAATATATATTATTTTTACATATATCTGACTATTCCTTAGTATAACTGATAAAAATTTCTAAATTTTTTTGAGAAGAAAATTTTGAAATTTTATATTAATTTGAGTAAAGAATGCGTAATTTCCAAATTGATTAATGGAAATAGCTATTTTGTCAAAAACCTAATGGATTTGGGTAGGTTTCCGACGTTTCTGACGTATGTATTATACGTCGGAAATGTATGTCATTTACGTCACTGTTTCTGACAGGCCATCTCTGAATAGGACTCGTCTATGTGGAAATAAAATTTCATCCCAATTGGATAGATTTTTTCCAAATTTCATCCCGTTCGGATCATAATGGTGGCATGTAACTTGTTTAAAATAATACATGAATGGAGGGACATACATAAATCGACTGAAAAATAATTCTATGTACATACTATATACTAAAAAGTAACTATGGGTCTATCTCGTTTCTTTTTGGTCGTTGCAAACACATTTACCAAGTCATAATGCCCTGTGCCACAGTGCGGTGAAGGATACAAGCACATTTTTGCCCAAAAATATGCAACAAAATTTTTGTTTTTATTGATATTATCGATAAATAGTCGACATCGTCGCATGAGTGTTACAGAATACCAAATCAGTGTCGAAGTGATGTCGATGCGAAGTGATGTGATGTCGAAAGAGAAACGTCGTCGACAACGACGACGACATACGGAATAGGGGTGATTGTAAATATTACATATCTAAAACATTAAACTATATATATTTTACAAAATTTAGGCGCTACTTATTAAATACTAATCACATTCAGAATCCGAGTTTTGATCGGAATTAGTTGGTAGCATTGGATCCTCCAGTAGTTTAAGGACTTCTTCAGATAGTGGCTCACTATATCGATGGTTAAGAGATGTACTACGAGACAAACTTGATATTTTTGGATCAGAAGAAAATAGCAACCTATTGAAAAGATCCCTCATTGTTTCCTCACGACTAATTTTTCTGGTCTACAGTTCCCTGTAGTTCCGAAAGTCCTTATTTCTGGATTCCATGGCTTCTTCAGACAACATTCCTATGGGCAAAGCTGCACATTTAATTATATCAGCTCCATGCACTAATATTTTGTGTATGCTTGAAGGCATATAGAACCAAGGATATAATTCCACGAAAAAAAAATAAATGTTTCCTCAGTAAGTTTTTCAAATGACTCTGCGTTAATAGCATATCCACAGGCCATCGTTGAAAGGATGATACTAAAATTTTTAATTAATTTTTCATCAACACCAGTTATCGATGATGCCAAGCCAGGTTGGCTAAAAACGCCTAGCAATATTGCCATCGTTTGTTGTTCCGGATACTGACTTAGGTGTGTCAACAATAATGTGCATTTCTTCCTTCAAATCATTAATGATACGTGCCTTCCTTTCTTCGAAAAGTGGCCGATCGGAGCTATTAATTTTCCACTTTTTCAAAACCAGTCGGTATGAAATGTGCAATATACATTCTAAAAATCGAATCCTTGCATGTAAGGTAGACAGACCGTATTCGTATAAATTGATGTTTGGGGTTAATGACGAAATTTTGTTGTAATCATTCATTACTTTTGCTGTTATGTGCTTATAGCGAAAACCATAAATGTAGGTAAAACAGTGTATATATGAATGTTACACCAATGATATTTTTCAGGGTTCATAAAGTGGACCCTTTACCTGCGGTATTTTAGAAGACTCTTACAACCGATTTCGTTGTAATTTTAATTTTCATTTAGAAAGACATTTGGAATAAATGTATATTCAGTGCATGAGTTTAAAATCAACGTTTGGAGCAGCTTACTTAAATCCCTCATTTTCATACTCACACCCATTACTATTGAACATTAGGATGTACATTTTGAACTTATTTTTTTTCTTATCTGCTATGCTGTGATCTATTCCAAGTCATATTTGATGAATTATATCAAAAAAATTCACAAATTTTTAATTTTATTTGAACAAAACCTTAAAAAAGCTTCCTACACAAAATTGGCATTTTTTCAAAAAATTGCCATAAATCCGAGAATCGCAGGAAGTCGCAGGAAAAAATTTAGTATGATGTTCTAGACAGACACACAAGAAAAATAAAACAAAAATCAAAGCTGAACTCAACTGCACTCCATACTAAACCCCTATTTTAATTGAAGGAATTAAAAAAAACGGACCTTACATATATTTAGCCCGAAACACCTAAATTAAAATAACTTATGGGTTATATAACTATACCATTTAATTAAATACCAATACTATATATCAAAAATGGACAAAATTTTATAATAATATATTCACAGAATGCACACGACCATCGCAATTTTATAGCAAAAAAATGCCATTTTTAACATTGGAAAAATTTTCTGTTTTAAATGTACCGTTATTCCGTTCTAGCTTATCAATTCGGATTATTTTATACGGACTTAAGTACTCTCAACACTCTACTTTAAAACTGCATTAATGTTTTAAAGTTTCCTTCAACTTCATTTTTTGATTTTCTGCGCGCTAGATCGGTATTTTTTCCCACTGTGTGCCGTGATCTCAACAACAATAAATAGTTGTAAATAACACTATCCGACAAAATGGAGCTCATGGTCTGGAGATATGATATTTCAATTGGCTATGGTAGTATCATAGCGACACGATAAAGGTGGGCGGCATTCGCCACTTTTAAGGTAATAAATAATAACGTAGACGGCTAGTGGTTCTCAGCACAGGAACTGCAGATTATTTTTTTGTCTAAGAAACTTCTGACTATGGAACTGGTGATCGTTACGCTCAAATGTAGATTTTGCTGTTGGTTGTTCTTGTGATAAATATCAGAGTTGAGTCTTTCCGGTACGAATTAATTCAAAGAAACTACTCAGCAAAAGTAACGATCGGTATTAGGTCTGGTTCTTTCGTTCATATAGTTAATTTTGCTAATAGTAGTTCATTTTTGCTCTCGTTCGCCAAGTTCCTTTTGATCCAATCATTCGACAGATCTTCTCGTTCATTGATCGAATAAACTGACTGGTACCACTGAACGATGGAACTAAAATGAATTATGGAACTAGATGCATGACATAGTTCCTTTTACGAAGCAAACCGAAAAATATTGATTTGACAGAGACCAGTAAACAGCGAATCATCAGTGACATGTGAAGAGTATCGGCGGTTACGCCCTGTATTCGAGCTGAGAGGCACTGATTATTTTTCCTCCATTACTGTATCGATTAATTCGGTTAATAGGAAAATTGTTCAAATAATTTTACAAAAGGCGATGGAAAAGATATTAGACCATAGTTTCTCCTTGAAGAAACTCACCATCACATGGTTAGGTCGAACGCGATAGCCGATAGCTTACTACCTTCCCAAAGGGAGTTAAGGTCAAAAATAGTTTTCTTAAGGTAAACCGATGACTCCTTAGTTCTACTGTTAATGACCTGGATTTCATTGAAGAAGGTGACCTGGACAAATCGAAAGTTCTGACGATGAAATTCGTCGTTCAAGAAGAGGTCACTGATGCACTCATCGGGATCAACTCGATCAATGAGTACCGCTCATTGGCCATCAAGGGCTCCTGGTTGAGCAGAAGTGTCGGTTTGGGACTTTTTCTTCGTCGACGTAACGTAGGCGTACGAAACAGTGCGTGGGTCTCTTTGCAGCGGGTTGCTACGAATTCGAAGACCACATCTCCGGACTTGCGGATGTCGCGAACATGAGCAACTGATCTATTATAATTAATTGTCCTATGTTCGTTTTCCTTGGTGATATTCCTTGTTCTTCCGATTTTAACAGAAAATTGTCAATTTGGGTCCATTTTTGATATATCCCTCATCGCATCCCGTTTTCGGTATTAGTAGGTAGGATAAAACTTCCAAAGAGAGGAAATTTACAATATAGCCCGATATATTTTACATAATTTTATTGTGCACCTCATGGTGGAGGGTATAAACCTTTTGGTTTTTATTTGTGATTTCGGTGGGATATATGGGTCCACGTTTTGGTATAATTTACATATAAGGGTACCCCCCAATATTCGATAAGGAGATTTTAGGCACGTTTTCTCATCGAATTAATTTGATATTATGACATATTATTGTATAAGAAATATTCCTGCTGAAAATCATAATTATTGGCCCACTTTTTAGGGTAGCCCTCATATAACGGTACCTTTTAAATTTCAGTATTTTGGTCATTTAATTTCATTTCTTTTTTCGATTTTTCTTCTAGCTTATTACCCTGCGTAATTTTCCATCAGAACTTCACAGTTCCCACGCACATCAATGCCATTATTGTGGACTGTTCATCGAAATCGCTGAAGAAGGTTATACAACAGGATGCATTTACATTTATTCAAGTTAAGGACGCCAAAAAGCCAGTGTCGGCGAAAAATCACACCGATGCGAATATTCCGCAGCAAAGTGAGGTGGAAAAATTGGGTATACTGCTGATTGGCATTGATAGTTTATCGCGTATTAATTTTCGTCGTACCATGCCACATACTTATGCATATTTAAAGGAGAAAGGATGGTATGAGCTGAAAGGATATAATAAGGTAAATATACTAATGAAAAACTAAGGTCAAAAGGTTATCTGTGTACAAAAAAAAATCCAAGGTAAAATATTTCTTCAATAGAAATCCAAATGGTGGTATTTTACCTATAGTGGCATTTTACCTACATTGTTGCCATTTGCCTACGGGTGACGCTAACTAGATAATTGATCTGCAGTAACTCGTCCTAGGAGATGATGCTGCCATCTATCGTTGCTTAGAAATAGCGCCTCCTTTAATTTGGCGCAGAGGTTGGAGTCTTTTGCATAATTATTATTGCGATTTTCTTTTGGGTGAAGAACATATTTATGAGACCGATAGAAAAAAAATGAAATCTTTCAGGAACTTTTTCAGAAATCCCATAGCAAATAATCTATTAATTATGTGTCATTCATAATTATGTAGCTATCATTCAGACAGGTTGTACTTCGATATGGTGGCCACACACAGAAATTTTTTCAATCCAATGATAATTTAAAATACCAAGTTCCAGCTAATTCGAATGTTTGATAAACAAAACATTGATAATGTTTGGTAGGAAGATTTGACACTCAATGATAATCCAAAATATAAAATTAGAGCGTGATATAATCCAGATAAAATTATTTTAATTTAAAATACCAAGTTCCAGCTAATTCGATTGGAAAACGTGCCAAGACTCCACAACGTGAACCGATAAAATTATTTTTGGTTAGGAGATTTCCTACCTAATACGAACCCAATGTACCAATGATACCAAATTACAACCAATTCGTTATAAGGGGCTCACCAAAACATGGACCGATATAATTCATTTTCAGTACCAAATATTCTAGAAATAGTAGCAATGTACTATGATGATTATACCAGAGAAAAAGATCAGAGTATCAATCTGATATCTACCAAACAGACGACTTCTCTTGTGATATACAGTGGGCCTCACTCAAAAGTATCGATTTGGCTTTTATACCCTTCCCCACACTGTGGTACAGGATATTGTGTCTTTGTGCATATGTTTGTAACAGGCAAAAGAAAACGAGATAGGCACATGGTTCCTTTTGAGAATATGCATAGAATTACTTTCGAAGTCGATTTATGTATGTCTGTTCCTGTTAAATTGTAAACAAAGTACAGGTCGCATTCATGATCCGATTTGAATGAAATTTGGTACAGTTCATTTATTTGGCTCAGGGACGAACCCTATTGATCGGTTCCGATTTAGATAAAGCTTTCATATATATTTTCGTCCGATTTAATGTAAATGGTGTACCAAAGGTCATATATTTCTTTCGATTTGCACGAAATATGGCACATCGTACTGAATTAAGTCTAGAATGACGTGTGCTAAGTTTCGTGAAAATCGGTTCAGATTTAGATATAGCTCCCATATATACATTTTCGTCCGATTTAATGTAAATAGTGCACAAAAGTATCTATATGTCTTTCGATTTTCAGTACGCTTTTGGCAAAAACATACTGAATCAAGTCTAGAATGATATGTGTTAAGTTTCGTGAAAATCGGTTCAGATTTAGATATAGCTCCCATATATATTTTTATATATTTTTCGCTTTGCACGAAATTTGGCACAGCGTACTGAATTAAGTCAAGAACGATGTATGTTAAGTTTCGTGAAAATCGGTTCAGATTTAAATATATCTCCCATATATATTTTCGTCCGATTTAATGTAAACGGTGCACAAAAGACCCCATATATCTTTCGATTTGCACTAAATTTGGCATAGCGTAATGAATTAAGTCTAGAATGATTTGTGTTATGTTTCGTGAAAATAGGTTTTTTGATTTAGATATACATTGTGCGCGAACAACCACATTTTGTAACCATTCTTGGGTGGCGCGTGCTAAGTGCGATGGTGCTATGTCCTGTTGGAATGACCAAGGTCGGCGGGCAAAATGTTTGCGTACCCAAGGCTTTAATACACCCTCTAACATATTTTCGCGATAATATTCGGCATTTATTTTGATACCACGGTCGATTAATACGAGCGAGAGCGACCATCGGCTATTATGGCGGCCCGCACCATCATCATGGCCGGCGTTTGAGTTCTGGTGACCAACTGAAGGTGCACATTTTCAGATGACCTCTTTGGCGATCATTTGTTTGTTTGCCAACTGCTGGACAACGAATGTTTTCTCATCGGAGAAAACCAAATTCGGCAGTTCAATACTTTCGATCAAACGAAGCAAATCTTTAGCTCTTTTGAGTCTTTTTTCTTTCTGTTGCGGTGTAATTTCTTGCACTTCTTGGAATTTCAATTTTCTGCAAATGGCAGAAAATAAGCTCGTCGATTGGGTGGGATTAATTCTTACTACAAAGTTGATGATGCCACGGTACATAACAAATAAATTGATCCTATTCTATTTTTGTTTTTTTAATACTTATGTAATACCCCTGTTTTTTTAATGAAAAAAGACAATTAAATAACTCTAGTATGATTTTATCTTATTTGCTTTTTTCTATATGATCTTTTCACTGATTGATTTTTCTCATTATAACATCACATAACTCTTTTTCATAGCAAGATGGAACAGAATATTAAAAGATAACAAAAATACAAAAAATAACAGCACTTACATTACATGTTTTTCATAGCAAGATGGAATAGAATATTAAAAGATAACAAAAATACAAAAAATAACAGCACTTACATTACATGTGGCTCCCTCACTGAAAGTACTTTTGGTGAGCAGCAACAATGTCGTTGATGTATTTTGATGAGTGACTGCTTTGAGACGGATTTCAGTTGATGCTATTAAAAGAAACATCAATTGCCAATAAGAGAACGAAGTTAAACTTGTAATTGAGATACGCTGCGGAACATGCTGAATGGTTCCCAAACATAGAACCATCAGCTATATTCTATCTCTTTCAAGACCATTTCCCCTGTTTCTTCCAAAGATTCCACTATATCTTCTTTATTTGTTTGAAATATTTGTTTACATCTACATAAAGTAGCAGACCCTTTTGCATTTTCTAAAGAATCAGCAAATTTCCTAAATTTTAAAGCTGCATTAAAACTTAATTTTAAGATGTGAAAAGAACAATGAATGTATACCACAGAAATGAATTTGGATTTAATAATTGTATGCACTCCATTTTAATTGCCTGACATGTTAGTAGAGTTGTACAGTTCACGAACGAACTAGTTCAAATGAACGATTCACTTAAAAGACCGATTGAACTAGGTCTTACAAATTCGTTATTTTTAGTTCATTAAAAGAACGAACTGGAACAATCGTTCCTTTTAGTTCAGATGTGAGCGTTTTACTGACATAGATCGATTTGGAAGCGACACCGATCGAGTTTTATTTTGTATGTGATATTACAGCGCTCCCATTTAGTAAACACTAATAAAAATATATATGTTGGCAAATAATTTTTCAATTGCTCTAAAACTAAAACACCCTATAAGTCCATCAAATTTTTTGAAACATTTATTTAAAAATCCACACCATGTAGGTCCATAAACTGTTCTTATTTATTCATTTTAATATCCTCGCCATATAGGTCCAAAAGTATCTTACAAGAAACCAAACTATCAACTGAACGAATCGGAGAGCGATGAACTATTAAAAGAATGACCGAAGTAAAACGACAGTTGAATAAAATAGCTTAATTGCGAACGATTGAACTACTGAACTAGAAGACCGAACTAGTTCAGTCAAAAGAGCTGAACTAAAAAGAGCGATCAGCCAACTGAACTAGAACTTGGCATGTCAAAAATGTATATTCTGACGGTCGACAATTATTTTGCTGTTAACCATTCTAATTTCACGTAGTAAGGGAAACCTTCTTTAAATTTTATAGATACCTTGTCAAAAATTTTATACATATTCATTTCATTCGCTAAAACTGACAAGAATACAGCACTATTCACTTCTTCGACAATAGACTTCTTTCTGGATGTATTCTCCAATTAGATCTATTATCGCGTTCGGTATTCTGGGACTCAGGTATATTGCATTTTTGGGTATACTCTCCAAACATTTTCTAAGTTTACGTCTACATATAGTATTCAGGAGGCTTTTCCTCAATTCGATGTCTTTTACACAATAAGTTTGTCTCAATGGCCTGAAGCTTATACGTAACATGTTGTATACATTTTGAAACATCTTTCATTCTCGATACAAAGTCCTGAGTCCTCATCAACGTATCTTTGTGTTATTCCTTTTTTTTCGTGGGCGGTGAAGCATTCAATAGCATATTTCCAATTTGTAAGAGGTGCGACATCAGTAATTTTGGAACTAAGTGGTTGCCCTTTCCAAACCCTCCTAAGATGCCGAATTTACAAAAATCACTTTTTGAAAAACCTGAATATGGATACAAGAAACCAGGGGGCCGGGTATAATTAAAATTTTACAAAAACACTTTTTGCTAAATCTAAATATGCGATAAAATAAATCCGAGGGCCGGGCCGGGTGTAATTAAAATGAAAATCAACTCAATTGGAACACTTTTGCACATATAAGAATCAAAATATAAAGCGATTTTTAATATTGTATCCACAAGTTATGCTCTTCTTCACACTTTTAATGTGTTTTGGCATATTCTGCGCCAATTTTTTTTATGATTTTACTGGGATTATGTTACATTACATTTTACTATTAAAATATTTAAATATTTTCGTCCTTAGGGATCTGTAGGGTAAATGGTGCACCAAAGTCCCTAAATATATTTCGATTTTCACAAAATTTGGCATAGCGTACTGAATTAAATCTAGAAATATGTGTGTAAAGTTTCGTGAAAATCGGTTGAGATTTAGATATAGCTTCCATGTATATTTTCTTCCGATTTTATGTAAATGGTGCACAATTGTCTCTATATATCTTTCTATTTGCCCGAAATTTGTCATAGCGTACTGAATTGAGTCTTGAATGATGTGTTTGAAGTTTCGTGAAAATGGGTTGAGATTTAGATATAGCTCCCATGTATATTTTCTTCCGATTTTATGTAAATTATGACCTAAATACCCAATGTTTGTCCTGTTGGCATAAAAAAGTTTCATTGAAAGCGGTCCATTTTAGATACAGCTTCAACATATATATTTGCGTCCGACTTTAGGTAAATGGTGCACCAAACTTCTAATGTTTGTCCAATTAACAAGTGTGCTATAAATCGATTTATGATTGAAAGCGGTAAACCTGGAGGCGCCAGAAATAGGCAGTGATGTAGATCTTTGCAAAGAGCTTAATTTCGAGGAATTCGGAACTCCGCCGCAGTTTTATAATAGCAATCCAATCTGCAGCATTTAACGACAAACACCTTGATGTTCCTACTCCACGTTTTACACGGTGAATGAGGATACTCCCACCACAGTTCGCCAAATATAACCATCACCCGTCAATTTTTCGTGGATTTCCGTTTTCTAAACATCGCTGCATACAACTTTCCATTCCTTCTGATACATGTGTAGCAAAAAGGAATTTTCGGAATATCCCGAGGTGAGACCTGATTTTCCAGCATATGCAGTTTAAACACCAAATGACGATCTAACCCTACAGATCCCAGGGACTGGAAGCTGACGTTGGAGGTCAGCATAATAGTCACTAAGAATAAATAAATGCTTAGAGCATTTGATGTGTTGCAACATTTGAAGGAAGAAGGATGATAGGCCCGCAGTCAAATTAAGCGACGAAAAGGAGATGGATCCGAAAAGATGAATTATTTATTAATCCGCTATTATCTGCGGTATGTAGACCTTTTATAAAGGTCGACCTGTGCTACGCAAGTGTTCGGACTAATCAGAACGCTGACTTGAGAACAAGTTGCCTCCACATGACACAGGTGCAATATATGCTTGGGTACTTTGGAGGGATCTGATGTGCATTAGAGAGGATTCTAACCTAATTCTAATGAATTCACACTGCTGTACTTAAATAAACTCAGTCCTCGGAGTTCACGAGTGCCAAATCGATTCCTCTATATCGAGGAAGGCTGCTAACGAAAAATGTAAGGCACTATCGGGCAATCTCGTTCATGAAGCGGCTCTGTATTGTTCGGTTCGCTTCGCAAATTAGTTCTATAGTTCCTTTTAGTTCAATTGTTCATTGGTAAATGCCGTTTAATTAGTTCATTGAACGGGAAGAGCTAGATTAGCGAATGTAGCAAAAGGAATTAGATGGGCGATGCCGGGATAGTACCTTTGAACTAGTTCATTTTGGAACGACCAAAATCTAACGGGAAGAGCTAGGTGAGCGAATGTAGCAAAAGGAATTAGATGGGCGATGCCGGGCCTTTTGCGGAATAGTTCCTTTGAACTAGTTCATTTTGGAACGATCAAAATCTAGTGTCGACTGATGTTGGTATGCTGTCAATTGCTGATTTTATTTGGGTCTATATCAAGGCCCAATGTTTTAAGTCGGTCTATAGTCCTTAGACAAAGTGTTGTTAGGTTTTCCCGCTTTGGGAATCAAAGCCAACTTCTCTTCGTTTTCATTAACGCCATCTGGATTTGGATAGCATTTATCAGAAATTAGCCTTCTAGTTTCAGGTTCAATGTGATGTCAGACTTGCACAAGGGTGTCCAGGTCTCTGCCACCCTAAAATGAATATCTGATATAAGACCAAAAGTCTCTAAACCGGAGTTTGTTTGCGATCTACCTTTTCTAGAGTTGGGCAATATAGTTCAAGGAGCGGATCGATGTTTTTCGTTCCTTTTTTAATACGTTTAATACTACCTATTGACTTATGCTCTTCAACATTACATCCCCAGTCCTCCCTTGCCCCATTTAATGTAACAATTTTTCTTGTTTTTATTTTCAGGTTGCCGACAACACCTATCCCAATTTAATGCCCATTCTCGCGGGATTTACCGATCCACATGCCACGCAGTATTGCAAGCCTACAACAGTTGGTGGTCTGGATAATTGCCCCTTTGTGTGGAAACGCTTTCACGATCACGGATTTGTAACGGGCTTTGCCGAGGATACCGTCTCAATCAGTACTTTCAATTATAAGAAAAAGGGATTCCTGAAACCGCCCACTGATCATTACTTCCGACCAGCCGCCTTGGCCATAGAAAAAACAATGCAAAAGAGACAAAAAGCTGGTCTATATTATTGCGTTGGTCGTCGCCAATATGGCGAATATGTTTACGATTATGGTGTAGAATTTGCCAAACGTTATCTGAATCGGAAAAATTTTGGTCTCTTTTGGACCAATTCATTTTCTCACAATGCCTATGACACGAGTGCCACAATGGATGATAGAATGCGTCAATATCTGGAGGAGTTGGAGGGGAATGGTATTTTGGAGACATCGGTGGTGTTTTTCTTTAGCGATCATGGTCGGAGATGGGGTCCTTTGTTGAAATTACCCGAGGGATTTTTGGAGGAACGCCTGCCGATGTTTTTCATTTCCACACCCAATTGGTTTAAGTCCAGGTACCCCGAGTTATCGCGGAATTTGGAGTTGAATCAAAAACGTCTATCCGCACCCTATGATATCTATTTGACCCTGCAACAATTGTTGCAATTGGCCACTTTGGGCGAATACAAACCTCAGCAGGCCTCAGATTGTCCTACGGCTTATTCGTTGTTCGACGTAATACCCGAGGATAGAGATTGTGATTCGGCTTGTGTACCCGAATCATGGTGTACATGTTTGCCCTATGTCACGCAGTCCACCAAGAGTCCGATGGTCGGAAAGATCGCCGCCATGGTTGTGGAGAAAATGAATGATTGGCTGTGGGCGCGTAATTTAAGTTCGTTGTGTAGCGAATTAGGTGTACAGAGCATTAGTAATGCATTGATGCGCGATCATGACCCAGCGATGTTGTCTTCGGCTACTGCATCTCCGGATATTGAAACATATCGTATTGATTTTACGACAAAACCCAAAACATCGCCGGTAACTGAATTCAGTGCCACATTGGATTATGACAAGCGGACAAAGAGCATAAATCTCAATGTGGAGGATATTGCGCGGCACAGTATCTATGAGAAGACGGCCAAATGTGTGGATGACAAACAGGCGAAAAAATATTGCATCTGTAAGAATGCAGTGAGATAAGAGAGAGGCCAATGATTGTGGTTGGAAGAAAGAGAGAGAGCAGAAAAAATAAAACACTTAGAAATCAGCTGTTCTGAAATTAACCGACAGAAGCCACTTATCACAAAATGACAATCTAACAAGAATTCGATTGGAGAACCCAACCACACACCATTGTTATGGCCCACTTAAATTTAATTGTGGCCAAACAAAAAATAAAACACTTAGAAATCAGCTGTTCTGAAATTAACCGACAGAAGCCACTTATCACAAAATGACAATCTAACAAGAATTCGATTGGAGAACCCAACCACAAACCTTTGTTATGGCCCACTTAAATTTAATTGTGGCCAAACAACCACTAATAAAAAACGGTGGTAATAAAACCGCAACAACGACATTTTGTTCCGCTGTGATTTCGGAACAATTCTGTGCCGCCTTTACTCTACTCCCATAAATTATCGATGACAAATCTGTGATAACTAATTACGGGTGTGCCTGCTAACACAGCACATTCCATATTAACTGGATGACCGACCACTCGTCGCTCGACCAGCCAGTAAGCCTAAGAAGCACTCGTCTGGTTATAATCTCAAGTACCTAAATAGAGGGTTTTTGTGATCATTGCCAAATGGTAAATAAAAATAAAAAGAAAGAAGAAATAAATCACTAATATACCCCCTCAATATACTCTCAATAAATCTACTATATATATTTGTTGTTTTTCTTTCAAGTGGCTGTTGAAAATATACGGAGCCACTAATCTCTGATGACAACACTGTCAAATTAATGCCGAGGTATTGAAAGTAACGAAAAAGTGGTTCATAAAGATTTTGAAAATAACAATTCTAACTACTTTCCGATGACAGTATTTGGAACCTAATTTTTCTGGTGGGTAATCTATCATTTGTATTTGGCGAACCGGTGGAGCTGGAACTCTGAAATGTGGTTTGGTGGTCGTTGATGGAGTGTAGGATAGATGTACCAAAGGGTTTTTGGAAATCCGAACTATAACTATCCGAAAAGTACGAAAATGTACTAAATTTGGTACAATTCTGTAGCATGTGAACGGATAGCGTTAAAAACTTGAAGTTTGGAGTGTGAATTAAGGTTGAAATGTAGGGTCCATTTAAGGAGATGGTTTTGAATGCACTTACTCATGTGTACGAAAAGTACTATATGGTACTATATTTGGTACAAATTTAATCTATACTAATAAAAGAGTAAAGTGATTGACCGACTGACTGATTTAATGATTCATCAACGCCCAGACGAAACGGCTGAAGCTATAATCTTGAAATTTTGGGTGAGGGTCACCATTGGTCCAAAGATGACAGATAGGGCTGGGTTTTTGGAAATTCGTACTAGAACGGTACGAAAAGTCCTAAATGTGATACCATTTGTATTTGGCGAACCGGTGGAGCTGGAACTCTGAAATGTGGTTCGATGGTCGTTGATGGAATGTAGGATAGATGTACCAAAGGGTTTTTGAAAATCCACCTCCACTATCCGAAAAGTACGAAAATGTACTAAATTTGGTACAATTCTGTAGCATGTGAACGGATAGCGTTAAAAACTTGAAGTTTGGAGTGTGAATTAAGGTTGAGATGTAGGGTCCATTTAAGGAGATGGTTTTGAATGCGCTTACTCATGTGTACGAAAAGTACTATATGGTACTATATTTGGTACAAATTTAATCTATACTAATAAAAGAGTAAAGTGATTGACCGACTGACTGATTTAATGATTCATCAACGCCCAGACGAAACGGCTGAAGCTAGAATCTTAAAATTTTGGGTGAGTGTCACTCTTGGTCCAAATGTGACAGATAAGGCTGGGTTTTTGGAAATTCGTACTAGAACCGTACGAAAAGTACTAAATATGGTATCATTTGTATTTGGCGAACCAGTAGAGCTAGAAATTTGGATTGAGGGTCCCTGATGGAGTGTAGAATAGATGTAGCAAAAGACTTTTTGAAAATTCGAACTATAAGTATCGGAAAAGTACTAAAATGTACTAAATTTGGTACAATTTCGTAGCATGTGAATGGATTGAGCTAAAAACTTGAAATTTGCAATGCAAATTAAGAATGAGAATTAGGATCGATATGAGGAGAGTTTCGAAAGCTTGTACTCATGTGTACGAAAAGTACTATATGGTACTATATTTGGTACAAATTTGATTTGTAGGTACAAATCGAGCTGGAATCCTGGAATTTGAAATTAAAATTACCGTTGGAGTGTAGGATTGGTATATGATCGTAGTTTTGGAAATTTGTTACTTATGTGTACGAAAAGTACTATAATCGGTACAGTTTGGATTTGGGTGATCCTATAGGGCGGGAACATTATAATTTGGAGTCAGGATCACTGTAGGGGTGTGGGATAGGAGTCAGGATTCAGTTTACAAAAATAATACTTATGGGTACTAAATTTGGTACAATTTGAATTTTGGGTGAACCAATAAAGCTAGAATCATGAAATTTGGAGCCAGGATCCATGTTGAGGTGTAAGATTGAGATATGTAGGAAGTTTTAGAAATTTGTACTAATGTGTACTAAATTTTATACAATTTGAATTGATAGTGAACCGATAGAGTTGGAATCCTGAAACTTGGATTTGGGTTCACTGTGGGGGTGTAGGGTTTGGGTATGTAGGAAGTTTTGTAAATTTGTAATAATGTGTACCAAATTTGGTACAATTTGAATTGTGGGTAAACCGATAGAGTTGGAATCCTAAAATTTTGATTTATGAGCACTGTGGAGGTGTAGGATTGGGGTATGTAGGAAGATTTGGAAATTGGTATAGTAGTACCTACTAAACTTAGTACAATTTGAATTGTGTGGAACCGATAGAGTGTAGGTTTGGGTTAAGTAGGAAGTTTTGGAAATTTCAATTGTTATGGAAATAATGTGTGCCAAATGGAAAATTTGTTAAAATTTGGATTTGGGTGAACCTTTAGAGCTCGAATCATGAAATTTGGTACTAAATGGTACTCAAATTTAATTTATGCTCGATATTAATGTGTGGATTGTTTTTTTAGACATATGCAGTTTTATATAAAAATTAAATAATTAATACATTATAAAATATTTCCTACATTCGCTAATGAAGTTGCGGGCATATGCTAGTCTTAATATATAAAAGAGCTTAGTGTTAAGTGAGTGAGTGACTGGCAGATCATCGCCCAGACGAAACGGAATTTGGGTCACTGATGAAATGCTAGAAAGATGTTCCAAAGGGTTTTTCGGGTAATTCGACCTATAAGTGTACGAAAAGTTGTATATATTGCACATATAAAACTAGAATCTTGAAATTTTATAAGGAATACAGGTTGGGAAGTGATGTTGATGTAAGAAAAAGGTTTAAGAAATTCGTACTTATGTGTATAAAAAGTACAAAATGGTACTAAATTTGGCACTATTTGCATTCAGTTGAGTGTGTAGAGATGGAATCCTGATAATCGGAATTAGGAGTACTATTGGAGTACAGGAATGAGGTAGCTTTAAAAAATCGTACTTATGTGTACGAAAAGTACTAAATGGTACTAAATTCGGTGCATGCTGGTTTTAGATGAACAGATAGAGCTGGAGCCTTCAAATTGGGAATTAAAATAACTATTGGAGTGTACGATTGATGTAGTTTAGGAAATTCGTACTTATAGGTACTAAATTTAGTACAATTCGGATTTTGTTTGAAAGGATAGAACGGAAAACCTCAAATTTGGAATTAAGATTTTTGTTGAAGATTAAGCTATAGAGACATCTATGGAAATTCGTATTTATGTGTACGAAAAGTACTAAACGGCACTAGATTTGGTACAAATTGGATTTGGATGAACGGAGACAGCTGGAAACCTAAAAATTGGACCAATGGTTGATGTTGGAATATAGAATTGAGATATGGAAGCATAGTACTTATGTGTACTAAATGGTACTATATTTGGTACAACTTGATTACGTGTGAACGGATAGAGCTGTACTCCAGAATTTTGAAACTAAGTCTTGATTTAGATTAGACGAGTTTACTTGCGGCAATTTTTGTCGTTCTCTTTTGAACTTGCTCCATGCGTCTATACAAGGCAATTCGGTTTCGAAAATATTTCTTTTTTCATTTGATGTCAATAGTTTTTTCACATTTAAATAAATATAAAATGTCAACAAATACGAAACAAACAAAACGGATTGCCAGAAAATTGTCGGTACGAGCAATTTTTTTCCATTTCTATTCCCCTTGCCCCTCTCTCCTACAAACAAAGACTTGCCGCAAGTAAACTCGCCTAATCTAAATCAAGACTAAAATTACTTTTGGAGTGTAGGATTGACATAGTTTAGGAAATTTTTAATTATAGAAACAAAAAGTACTAAATGGTACCAAAAAGTTTACAAATTGTTTTTGTGTGAGCGGATAGGGCTGAGATTCTGAAATTATGAATTAATATTACAGTTGGAGTTCAGAATTGAGATATGTCGGTAGTTTTGAAAATTCGTCATTGTGTGTACTAAATGGTACAAAATTTGGTACAATTTTGATTGGAGTTAACGTTTGAAATGAAAATTAAAGAATTAAGAAAGTATTGGAATTTCGAACTTATGGATACGAGAAGCACTAAATGGTACTAAATTGTGGTACAATTAGTTTTGTGTGAGCGGGAATTCTAAAATTTGGACTTAAAAATAAGTTTGGAGTGTGGGATGACACATGCCAATTATGTGTACTAAATGGTACTAAGTTTAGTAGAATTTAGATTTGAGTGAAAGGATAGAGATGGATGGATTTGAAAATAAAATTACTCTTTTAGCAAAGGATTGATACAGTGTTGGAAATTCGAACTCATAAGTACGAAAAGTACTAAATGGTACTAAATATGGTACAATTTGGATCTATGTTAACGGATAGGGCAGGAATCCTGAAATTTATGATTAAAATTACTGTTGCAGTGTGGAATTGAGGAAGTTTTAGGAACTCGTGTTTACGTCTACGAAAAGTAATAAATGGTACTAAATTTGGTACAGTTTGGAT